CCTTAGTGGTGACTTATTTCACACCTGATCATGGTTTGGTATAAAGCAGTGCTTCCCAGCCTGTGGATCCCCAGATGTTTTGGCCTTCAGGTCCCAGAAATCCTAACAGCTGGTAAAATAGATGTGATTTCTGGGAGTTGTAGGCCAAAACACCTGGGGACCCACAGGTTGAGAACCACTGGAAAAAGGCAAGTACTTATTACGTTAATACTCAAAGGACTCAGCTGTCTTCAACCTATCAATATGTTGGACAAAAACCTACATGAAACCCAGCCAGCAAGCAATGATGGTTGCCTCGTCCTACTAATCTGAAGGTATGTGCAGGAGGTGCAGAGATTTGTTGCTTCTCCAGGTGGCCAACACTGCCACGCAGCATGGGGCTGATGGAAGTTGCAGGCCAAAGCATCTGTAGACAGAATCCCAGAAAGTTGGGTATTTGTCACAGCTTGAGCATTCCTTATGCCAAAATCAATGTCCAAATTACACCAAAATCTAACCGAGAATGTGCTACTTTTGCTTTCTAATGGTTCAGTGTACACAAACTTTGTTTCATGCACAAAATTATTTAAAACACTGTATAAAATGATCTTCAGGCTACAGTTTTTCATGTCAGGAGCAACTTGAGAAACGGCAAGTCACTTCTGGTGTGAGAGAATTGGCCATTTGCAAGGACGTTGTCCAGGGGATGCCCGGATGTTTTACCATCCTGTGGGAGGCTTCTGTCATGTCCCCGCATGAGAACATGGAGCTGACAGACAGAAGCTCACCCTGCTCCTTGGATTCGAACTACCGACCTTTCAGTCAGCAGTCCTGCCAGCACAAGGGTTTAACCCAATGCACCACCGGGGGCTCCTTCAGGCTACATGTATAAGATACATATATGAACATAACTTAATTTAGTGCTTAAACTTTGGTTCTGTCTCCAAGACATCTCATTATACAGTAGGCTCTCTGTTAGTTGGCACCCATGGATTAGTAGATGCTGAATAAAAATAGTTTCTGGTTGCTTGAAAGTTACCATTAAAAACAGGCCTAACTAATATTATACCCTATACAATACCAAAGTATAAACCCGGACCGGATATTAATTGACCGGATATTAATAGTGAAATAAAATAATTTAAATCAAATTAAAACAAATAAAGACAAACCTAACTTAATGTAACACAGTTCTGCTCTATTATAACAACAGCTTTGTGAATGTAGCATATTAATATAATTTTTATGTTAATGATACTGCATGGTATGTTTTTTGTGTGCTTACTCATGGCTCGGTGTGCGAAGTTCCAACTTACATTTCCACTAAACATTTATTTCATTTTAAGCATTCTTTATTTTATTTTTACATGTTGCTTAAGAGTTCCCGTTAACTAAGAATCTACTGTATATATATCATGCCCCAGAATGCATCTATGATACTATGTTTGCTTTGTAGTTTGGCCCTGTTTCCTTTCTGTACTCATAGATGCGATGCAATAGCTCCTCCCCCCTCTCTTTGTGCTATACTTGTTCTAAAGGAAACATGGCTGACCAGCTCCAGGGTATTTATCATTTTTTCACCTGCTGTAGCAGGCATGTAGCCCCCCCCCCCCCCCGAAATTCTCATGGTGGTCTGCGAGAAGGCCTTACTGGTACATTATTTAAACTGTTATGTTTATTCATATCATTATCTGATCACCATGCTCAATATATCCCATATGCATGGGGGTATTGGGGTAACGATACAAAAGGTTTGCTAGGGTAGACCCTCATTCACTCAGACTCAGCCCCCTCCCCTGAAACAAACTCAGCCCTCGCCTCCCCCGAATCAAAATCCTGGCTACGGGCCTGTGCTGTAGTATGATGTTATACAAGATTTAGCGGAATTAAACATCTGGAATCTTATCTACACGTCTCTTCGAATAAAACATGTTCACCCTTAAATATGTTGCTTCAGGAACAAGAATCCTATAACATTTTACAAGCTGACACTGGCTAAGGATTCATAGTTTAGTATACTATGTAGATTTTGGGGGGGGGGGGGAATCTATTCCTGGTTTGAAAGTGTTGTTTTCTGTTTAATTGTGAGGTACCTACTTTGAAAGTAGTTGTTATACTCTGGAAACTTGACCAATTCAATTAGGTTGAATTGGTCAAGACTCTATGAGATATTCGTTGAAAAACTATAGCATAATATGCTGCAGGATGTCCCGCAAAAACAAAGTTTTTGCAATTTAATGAACTTTTTCCATGTTTTTAATGATTGAACCAATGAAGCAATGACATTTATAACTAGGAAAAAAATCATGTTATTTGCCTACATTCATTTGACACACAATCTGATACACAATGAAGATGCAAAAATAAATCTAGGGACCTTTAAGGTACATCAAAACTATAGATGGATAAAATACCAGAATTCCTGTGTGGGAATCTTGTAAATCTCAAAGCTTTGTGTTGAAATATTGACAAACTTCTGCAAAAGAAACTGAAAAACCACAATTTTCCAAAAAGCTGGGTGCAAAGTGTGGGTCTGGAGAACAAGCTCTACTGAGAATTGGGAAGCCTTGGCACTTGAGCTCTCCAGCTGGAGGTCAGCTGTGACCAGCAGTGCTGTAGAATTTGAAGAGGCACGAATGGAGGGCAAAAGAGAGAAATGTGCCAAGAGGAAGGCATCCCCAAACGGGACCGCCTTCCACCTGGAAACCAATGCCCTCACTGTGGGAGAAAATGCAGATCAAGAATAGGGCTCCACAGTCACCTACAGACCCACCACCAGTACACTGATCTTGGAAGACAATCCTACTCAGACAACAAGGGACCAAGTAAATAAGTAAGTAAGTAAGTAAAGAGCTGGGCATGTTTAACCTGCAGAAGAGAAGGCTGAGAGGAGACATAATGTGGGCCATGTATAAATATGTGAGGGGAAGTCATAGGGAGGAGGGAGCAAGCTTGTCTTTTGCTGCCCTGGAGACTATGAGGTGGAACAATGACTTCAAACAGCAGGAAAGGAGATACCACCTGAACATTAGGAAGAATTTCCTAACCATGAGAGCTGTTTAGCAGTGGAACTCTCTGCCCTGGAATGTGGTGGAGGCTTTTAAGCAGTGGCTGGATGGCCATCTTGTCATTTGGGAGTTGTAGTTGCTGGGATTAACCTAGAATTGGGCCAAACTTCCTACAAAGAACCCCCATGCCTTGAAGCGACTCACTGGCATGAGCCTCCCTCCAGCCTTGCATGCTCTCCCTCATCCGCACATGCGCACCACACTGCCATGAAGCGAGCATGCCTGCTCTCCCCTCCCCACTTGGAGTTTCAGAAACAGCCTTCCCCTTGGCTGAGAGGCCAGCCAATCACAGCGAAGGAGGGCTTTTGGTGGGAGGATTCATCTTCTGTTTCCAAAATGGAGAAGACAGACAGGTGGAGAGATCTTCAGCCTTCTCTGCCAAAGGGGTTCCTAAGACCATCAAAAATATTATTTTCTGATGGTCTTTGGAGACCCCTCTGTACCCCCCTTGTGACCCACCCAGGGATCCTGACCCCCAGTTTGAGAAATATTGCTAGAGAAGGTCCTGGAAGTGAACCGCAGCAGTGACCACTTATTTAGGGCACAGTAGGTCAAGCCAAGAAGAGTATAAGAATGGGAAAGCATTGCTTTTTTAAAAAAAAGTATTAAATTACAACTTTTTTCATATCCTAAGGTCATTTCTACACTGCCATATAATCCAGATTATCAAAGCAGATAATACCCATTCTCTGCTTTGAACTAGATTATCTTGAGGGCCTTCCTGACAGGCCCTATATCTCAGGTTTTCTGCCTTAAACCAGACTGCCAGATTATCTGGGATAAACAGAAACCTGGGATCAGATCCTGGGATAAAGGGCCAGTCTGGAAGGGCCCTGAGTGCACACTGCCATATAATCTGCTTCAAAGCAGATCTGGATTTTATATGGCAGTGCAGAAGAGGCCTGGGTCTGAAAGGCATTGCCATTTTATGTTAGGTTTATCTTTGCAATATCCATATTTTAAGACACTTTTTAACTCCTAGGCCCCTTCCACACAGCTGTATAAAATCCACATTGAACTGGATTATATGGTAGTGTAGACTCAGATAACTCAGTTCAAAGCAGATATTGTGGATGACCTGCCTTGATATTCTGGGTTATAGGAGGGCCCGGATGCTGGATCTATACTGCCCTATATCCTGGGATTGCATCCTAGATTATCAGCTTTGAACTTGATTATATGAGTCTACAGTGCTATATAATCCAGTTCAAAGCATATAATATGGATTTTATATGACAGTGTAGAAGAGGCCTGGATCTGAAAGGCATTGCCATTTTATGTTAGGTTTATCTTTGCAATATCCATATTTTAAGACACTTTTTCACTATGGATTTTATATGGCAATGTAGGGGCTCTTTCACACAACCCTGTAACCCAAGTATCAAGGCAGATCACCCACAATATCTAATTTGAACTGGGGGGGGGGGGGCTTACACACAGTTGTACAAAATCTACACTGACCTGGATTAGATGACAGTGTGGACTCAAATAACCCAGTTGAAGCAGATATTGTGGATGACCTGCCTTGATATTCTGGGTTATAGGGCTGTGTGGAAGGGCCTTCAAGCATCTGAGTTTAGAGCAGATATTGTGCAATTTTCTGGCTTGATATTCTGAGTTGTATGGCTGTGTGGAAGGGTTTCTCTTAACTCTGATTCAAATCTTTGAAGGCCTCGTTTGGATCCTATTTGGCTTCTTTGGCTGCTGAATTGCAAAGGAAAGAGGCTACACCTGACATGACACCCTGCCTCCCAGCTTGGCCAAAATGCACCATCACCCTCCACCCCCAGTTGGGCCTCTTTCCCTGGTCTCTCCTAATTGGGGGGCAGCACCCCTCTCTGGGGCCTTGCGCGAGGCAACTCTGAGGGGAGACCCTCCCTCCCTCCCGCCAAAACCTGAGGCGAGGGAAAGGGCCCCTCCCTTCCCCCCTGCCTCGCGTGGGGCCCGCCTCACCCGAAGAGCCCCCTCAGGAAGGAGTGGGAAGCCTTGACCCTCTTCTCCGCCTCGGCCACCAGCTGGACGGCCTCCCGCTCCTTCTCGCCTGCCACAGAGGCGTCCATGGCGGCAGCAGCAGCAGCGGCGCTCGAGTCGGGATGCGCTTCGGAGGAGGAGGGATGGAGGGATGGAGAGGGAGGAGGAGCAGCCCTCCCAGCCCCCCCTCAGCCTCTCTTCGGAAAGGAAAGAGGGAGGCACTCCTCTTTCCCTCCCTCCCTTCTTTCCTTCCTTCCTTTCTCTCTCACCCCTTCCTCCCTTCCCTCCTTCCCTCCCTTCTCCTTCCTTTTCCTCCTCCCCTCCTCCTCTCTTTCCCTCCTCCTCCCTTCCTCTTTCCTTCCTTTCTCTCTCCTTCCTTCCTCCCTCCCTCCTCCTTTCTTCTTTCCTTCCTTCCTTTCTCTCTCCCTTCCTTCCTCCTTCCTTCCTTCCTCTCTCCCCCATCCTTCTTTCCTTCCTTCTTCCCTTCCTTCCTTTCTATCTCTCTCTCCCTACCTTTATCCTTTTTCCCTCTTTCACACCCTCCCTCCCTTTCTCCTTCCCTTTCCTTCCTTTCTTCCTTTCTTCCTCTCTCCCTCCCTTTCTCTGCCCTTTCCTTTTTCCTCCCTCTCTTCCTTCTTTCCTTCCTCCCTTCCATCTTGTCTCTCCTCCTTACTTTATCCTTTTCTTCTCCCTTCTTTCATTCCTTCCTTCCTTTATCTCTCCTTCCCTACCTTCTCTATTCTTTCCCCTCTTTCATACTTTTTCCCTTTCCTTCCTTTCTTCTTCTCTTCCTCCCTTCCTTTCCCTGCCCTTTTTTCTCCCTCTCTTCCTTCTTTCCTTCTTCCCTCCCTTCCTTCTTTTCTCTCCTTCTTACTTACTCTATCCTTTCTTTCTCCCTCCCTCCTTCCTTCCTTGTTCTATCTCTCCCTTCTTTCCTTCCTTTCTCTCTCTGTCCCTACCTTCTCTATCCTTTTCCCTTCTTTCACACCCTCCTCCCTTTTTCCCTTTCCTTCCTTTCTTCTTCTCTTCCTCCCTTCCTTTCCCTGCCCTTTTTTCTCCCTCTCTTCCTTCTTTCCTTCTTCCCTCCCTTCCTTCTTTTCTCTCCTTCTTACTTACTCTATCCTTTCTTTCTCCCTCCCTCCTTCCTTCCTTGTTCTATCTCTCCCTTCTTTCCTTCCTTTCTCTCTCTGTCCCTACCTTCTCTATCCTTTTCCCTTCTTTCACACCCTCCATCCCTTCTTCCCTTTCCTTCCTTTCTTCTTCCTCCCTTCCTTTCCCTGACCTTTTTTCTCCCTCTCTTCCTTCTTCCATCCCTTCCCTCATTTCTCTCCTTCTTACTTACTCTATCCTTTCTCCCTCCCTCCCTCCCGCCTTCCTTGTTTTATCTCTCCCTTCTTTCCTTCCTTCCTTTCTCTCTCTCCCTACCTTCTCTATCCTTTCCCTCCTCTTTCACACCCTCCCTTCTTCCCTTTCCTTCCTTTCTTCTTCTCTCTCCTTCCTTTCCCTGCCCTTTTTTTCTCCTGTCTTCCTTCTCTCCTTCTTCCCTCCCTCCTTTCTTTTCTCTCCTTCTTACTTACTCTATCCTTTCTTTCTCCCTCCCTCCTTCCTTGTTTTATCTCTTCCTTCCTTTCTTCCTTCCTTTCTCTATCTCCCCTACCTTTCTCTATTCTTTCCCCTCTCACACACACCTTCCCTTCCTTCTTCCCTTTCCTTCCTTTATTCCTCTCTCCTCCCCTTCCTTTCTCTGCCTTTTCTTTTTTCCCCTCCCTCCCTCTCTTCCTTCTTTCCTTCCTTCCTCCCTCCCTTCCTTCTTTTCTCTCTTCCCTACTTTCTCTATCCTTTCTTTCCCCTTCCTTCCTTCTTTGTTTTATCTCTCCCTTCTTTACTTGCTTGCTTTTCCTTCCTTCCTTCTCCCTCCACCTTTCCCTATCCTTTTTCCCTCTCTCTCACACACCTTCCCTTCCTTCTTCCGTTTCCTTCCTTTCTTCCTTCTTTTCTCCCTTTCTTTCTTTCTTTCTTTCTTTCTTTCTTTCTTTCTTTCTTTCTTTCTTTCTTCCTTCCCCCCTTCCTTCCTTCCTTCCTTCCTTCCTTCTTTTCTCTCCCCTTACTTACTCTATCCTTCCTTCCCTCCTTCCTTCTTCCTTCCTCTCTCCCTTTCTTCCTTTCTTTTTTCCTTCCTTCCTTCTTTTATCTCTCCCTTCATTCCTTTCTTCATCTCTTCCCTTGTTCCTTCCTTTTCTCTTTTTCCTTCTTTTCTTTCCCTATCCTTTCCTTCTCCCTCCCTTCTTCCTTCCTTCCACTCTCCTTTTCTTTCTCTCTTTCTTCCTTCTTTTATCTCTTCCTTCATTCATTTTTCCTTTCTCTCCCTTCCTTTCTCCCCTTCTTCCTTTCTTTCTCTTTTTCTTCCTTCTATTATCTCTCCCCTCATTCCTTCCTTCCTACCTTTCTCCCTTCCTTTCTTCTTTTCTATATACCTTCTTTCTTTCCATCTTCCTTTCTTTCTGCCTCCCTTCCATTTTTCCTTCAGTTGATCCCATTTTGTTTGAGAAATTATAAATGGCCTCTTAGGCCCCATCTACACTGTCATATAATCTGGTTTCTGAACCCAGATTATCTGCTTTGAACTGGATTATATGACAGTGTAGACTCATATAATCCAGTTCGAAGCAGATAATCTGGGGTCAGACACTGGATTATAAGGCAGTGTACATCTAACCTTAGTCTTAATTTTGTAGTGTAGATGCACTTCGAATTACAGCTGTAATCAGACCATCCAAAAATGAGTGTGATCCCAAAACATCCAAAGGGCCAGTTATCCATCTCTCTTTGATCATCGTGTGGCAGCTTTTTCCCAAGAGGTTTCCAAATAGCAACCAACAGGAGCTGAATGGAAAAACATTTCACAGGTTTGGGATCATGGGAAATAAGACTCCCCACTGTAGAAAGTAGGCCTCCCAGCAATCTTAAAAACCCAAGGGCAGGAGGATGGAAATTTTTAACAAAAGGGAGCATATTCAGACATTATTTATTTTCAGTGTTGTGTTTCCCACAAATGGCCACTGAATGTCAGTGTTTCTGTTTCTGTCAAAAAGGCGTTAAGAGCAACCTACTGTCCTAAAGACACAATTACTCCACAGAATTAGGTGCTATTTTTATCAACCCCAGTGCTATTGAAACTAGCTGTATTCTAGCATTCTGCTTTGGATTCTCCAATCTGGATTGGAAGTTTCAGCACCTGCTCTATAAGACGACACCCGACGTATAAGACTACTCCTGCATATAAGACGACCCCCATGTATAAGACTACTCCCGCGTATAAGATGACCCCTGACTTTTGAGAAGATTTTCTTGGGTTAGAAAGTAGTCTTATACGCCAGAATATACGGCAATTTAAGTTCCTCATCAAGCTCCATTCTTCAGGATTCCACAGGATGGAGCTATAGCAATTAAAGTGATATTAAACTGCTGTAATTGAAAAACATGGATACACCAGTAGTTATATCGACCCCACTGTTATTTCCAGGCACAAAATGTCACTCATGTTTCATTTGTGAACAGATTTTCAGAGAAAAATAGTTTTAATTCTGCCTGTTTTGGGTTTTTATCATTTTTTACTATACCTATTGCACTGGTGAATGGGAGATTCTGGAAGTCATTGTCTCAAAAAGGAACTTTTCTAAGTTCTGTTCAGGAAATGTCATAAACAGCAGAATTTCAGACTGGAATTTTGAAAACTACAAATTCTTGGATGTTGTTGAGTCATTAATAATAGTCACTTAAAGAGATATGTTCTCTTAAAACTCAACAGGGAAAAATATTCAAATTCATGTTCTCACAGGTCTGATTATTCACACCAAAGCTTCTATCTGAATATGTATGTGCTTCTCTTTATGAACTGATTGTTGTACGGACTGAAATGTATTCTCTATTGGATTTAAATACCCCATAGCTTCCCATGGGAACCAACCAATGTAGCCAACAACATCAAAACCATATTGAGCAACTGAGCAGTTACTAATGGTGTAATCCTAAAAGTTTTTACTTTTAATCTGTGTGTAAAGAGATTGAACACAGTTTGATTTGCTTCTCAGGCAATATTAATAATATTAAGATCCATGTTATGTATATATTTCTTTTAAATATTTATGAACCACTTCTTTTATAACATGGATGGAGATGTTGTGACACTTTAGGCATTCTTGGGCTCTGGCGTCCATGAATTTCAAACATTATGGCTCAATGATTCAAGATTATAGGGCCCCTTCCACACAGCTGCATAAAATCCACATTGAACTGGATTATATGGTAGTGTGGACTCAGATAATTCAAAGCAGATATTGTGGATTATCTGATTTGATATTCTAGGTTATATGGTTGTGTGGAAGGGCCCTGGGAGTTATAGTTCAGCGTCATCTAGACTAGATGATTCCCAAAGTTTGGTCTTTCAGATGTTTAGGCCCCTTCTACACTCCCATATGAAATCCACATTATCTGTTTTGAACTAGATTATGACATTGTAGGCCCATATGATCCAGTTCAAAGCAGATAATGTGAATTATCTGCTTTGATAATCAGGATTATATGGCAATATAGAAAGGCCTCCAATAATCTGATTCAAAGCAAATAATGTGGATTATCTGCATTGAAGTGGATTATCTGGCAGTGTAGACTCATATAATCTGGTTCAAGGAATATAATGTGGATTATCTGCTTTGATAATCTTTATTATATGACAGTGTAGAAGGGGCCTTAAACTTCAGTTCCCAGAATTCCTGACAAAATGGCTGGGGCTTCTGGGAATTAAAATCCAAAATATCTGGGGGACCAAAGTTTGGGAATCACCGAAGCCCCTTCTACACTGCCATTTAATCCAAATTATCAAAGTAGATAATCCACATGATCTGCTTTGAACTGGGTTATATTAGTCTACACTGCCATATAATACGGTTCAAAGCAGATAATCTGGATTTTATATAGCAGTGTAAAAGGGGCCTGAGAGAAACAGGATCCTAATATCTGCTGTAGTGCTTGGGTTCCCAGGAAATGTACTTACTACTAACAGTTAGAAAGCAACTACAGTAAAACAGCACAAGGCAGCATGGAAAGCTATAAAAATTATGTTTTAATTTATTTAAAATGTTCTAAAATATTTTAAATGCCTTATAAACAAAAAAATTAGATTGTGCTTGGTGCCTAAGTGTCAATAGCATTGGTACCATCAATGACTTAAG